CTGCCATCGTTTCTGATATCTCCTGAAAAGTCTGCGTTCGTGGCGCCGTGCGCTCTGGTCTGGCCTAGGGTTCATGTTTCAGGGTTCAGGGTTTAGGGTTTGGGGTTTGGGGTTTAGGGTTTAGGTTTTAGGGTTTAGGGTTTAGGGTTTAGGGTTTAAGTTTAGGGTTTAGGGTTTAGGGTTTAGGATGACACGTTCTATTTTTTTGCAGGGGCTTCCAAGAAAGCCCCAACCCCGAAAGCCACTCAACACCCTAAAGAACAGAGAAAGCCTCTCGGCCTCTGACGCCTAAAACTCCGCAAGCCACCAGGGAGGCAGCATCCAAAGCCACGGGACCTTATAAGGGACTGTAGGGGTTGAAGGGGTTTTTTTAGGGTCTACTTAGGGACGATATAAGGTCTTTATAGGAACTTAGGGACTATATAGGTACTTATAGGGGTTATATAGGGAGTATGATTAAGGGTCCTTTCTAGGGGTCCTTCTTTTTTACCCCTTAAATGTATCCCTGAATAGAGAACATGTTTGTTATCAGTAGCTCACAGGAAGAATGCCTCTATCAGAGGCTGTTCCCGAAACTGGCGAGAGCCCCGTCCATGTACATGGGCGCTCGAGCCTGCTGGACAGGCCCATTGGCGAATGTAAAGCCTCCAACAACAACGCACCAGGAGGCTGTTCGTGCGCGCCCAAACAGTAGAGAATGCGGAACACAGTGTCCCTGGCTAGTGATTCGCGGCGAGCCCTTCAAAGCAGCAATGGTCCATCATGCTTGAGATCGCGTGCGAAGGATCGCATCCCACAAGCTTTCTGAACAACAAAGATGAAGAGCTAGCAGGATGGTTTTCAACCCAGGCTTCCGCAACAAGCGACGAGCAGAAAGCAGCGTGGCATGCGCACTGCGTGGCGCCATTCTGCCCAAGGCATTCAGCCTTGCAGTTGGTGTAGAGCCTAAGCCTACCCAATGCTGCGGGCATGCGTGCTTTGGCAAGTCGCACAGAATGGTAACACGGACGGAATCATCGTGCGGGCATGGTCTGGCCACTCTCACGGAGTGGCAACATGTGCTAAAACACGGCATCCAGCAGTGTTTGCATCAGTTGACCCACACGAAACACTTCCAGCCGTGCAAAAACACTGCATTTTTGCAGTGTTTTTGGCATGCGACCCGCACGAAACACTGTAAATACCGAGGCAAAACCGTGCAAGAAGCCTCTGAATGAGAGGTGCCGAAACCACTGCGCCCACCGGTGTTTGCGGCATGCGACCCACACGACACACTGTAAACACCGATGTGCACGACAGCGAGTGTTGCTTGCGATCGTCCGGCTGGAGGGAACAAAAACGACAACCCCTACGTGACCGACCTGTGGGGTGTAGGGTTGACCTTCCTCCTGCTAAGCTCCGGTACCAGGCACAACGTCCCAGCGATCAACAAAGCCATCGTTGGGAAGTGTCCAGGAGATTGCAGCCGTGGGGGGTTGCGGGGCTTATTTTCAAGTGGGGTGTGTGGGGTCCTATACCTGTCAGCCATTCGCCTTTTCATCCATTCTTCTTCACCATATTCTGGGCTTGATTTAAGACAGCTTTTACTCAAGGGCCTAACATGTGCCCCAAAGGGTCCATTGATAGGTAAAATCCTGTAGGAGATACGTTTCGCGTCTCGGTGAAGTCGCACGCCATCGACTACACCGTGAATTTGGTGAACATTACGAGATGCCTGGCTATCTGAGAGTTTGCTGAGGGTCGCTCACAGTAGGCCTTTTAGAGTCTTCTCGGAGTCAGAGCAGGGAGGCCCTCCCTAAACCCTAAACTCTAAACTCTAAACCCTAAACCCTAAACCCTAAACCCTAAACCCTAAACCCTAAACCCTAAACCCTAAACCCTAAACCCTAAACCCCAAACCCTAAACCCTAAACCCACCAAGCTCCAAGGCGGCCCCTTGCGCATCAAGGATGCCCTGTGAGCTGCGATGCATGGGCTTCCTGCGCCCCTGCTGGGGGGGTTTAGGGTTTAGGGTTTGGGGCTGTGGAGGGGCCGGCTCTTTCTGTGGTCTATAAACCCTAAACCCTAAACCCTAAACCCTAAACCCTAAACCCTAAACCCTAAGCCCTACTTGCAGGGTTCAGAGGCAACTTGGGCTTGAGGCCTTCAGGGCCTTTCAGGGTGCCTCGACAAAGGGGGACTCCTCTGGTGCGCTAACTTGGCTTGAGAGTTTCGGGATTAGGGTTTAGGGTTTAGGGTTTAGGGTTTAGGGTTTAGGGTTTAGGGTTTAGGGTTCAGGGTAAGATCGACCAGAAGAGCTGGAGTTCTGAACCTCAGTTGACCTTTCCTAGCTTGCATTGGGGGCGCAGGAAGCATTGCGTGGCAAGTCCGGAAGCAAGCAGGAGACCGAGGAGAACCAATGACAGCCGAAAGGCCTCAACCCTACGTAATGACATCTCTGAACCCTAAACACTAAACACTAAACCCTAAACCCTAAACCCTAAACCCTAAACCCTAAACCCTAAACCCTAAACCCTAAACCCTAAACCCTAAACCCACCAAGACGCTTATGACGAAGTACCAGCTCTGCAAATTAGGGTTGCGGGTTCCGTAGCTGAGGATGTTGAACAGCGCTTTTATGTTCTCCTATATCCCCCTTGGGAATTGTGTTTTCATTTTTGTTTACATAAAACCCAAGAGGATATTGATAAACATATTTTGTTAATTGAGGTTCTAGGGGGAGTATAGTCTCCTGTTGGCGAGTGTCCGGCTCCTGCAGCTTCTCGACTGCCTACATTGATAGACCCGCACAGCTGCAGGAGGCGCCTCCGATCCCTTCTTTGCTACCAATTGCTGAAGAACCCCCAAACAATAAAACATATTCTTCCTTATAAGGAAACAGAGGGGTTATTGTTTTTGTATTTCTTGGGGGTTCTAGAGCAATTTGTAGTTTACTCAACTCGGTAGGCCCTGGGACATTTTATATTTTCCCTTATTTGGGCTGGAATATTTTGCAGAGGGTTTAAGGGCCGTCCTAGTGAATGACGTGTCCTTCTGCAGCTGGTGCGTCTTGGCAACCCAGTGATCTTAATTCTCTCTCCTGTACAAAAGCAGAAAAAAGACACCAACAGCCGCGGCAGACGAAGCCGAGTGTCCTTTTTGGTCACACTGGGCGCCGCGTTCCCGGCCCGGCTTCCGCGGGGATCTGACTTCGGTAATTTGAGTTGTGTTGCATTGCGCTGCCGTGTTTCCTCGTCATACCCAGTTCCCACTCAACATCCTGGTGTAGTATAGGGGTCGGGATCATCAGTAATGATATTCCCTTATGGTCCCTCTACAGAATTATACCATGCTACCCCCCAAAACCCTATTCAAATGATTAAGGCCACAGCCCCTACATCAGGGTTTCTTCGCTGAGTTCTAAAGGCTCCTGCACTGATTTGCAAGAACACCCTTGCAATCCTTAACGCAGCATCCGGGCCGCTGGACGTGAGCAATATAGGGGCCTTTATAGCTGGTTAGAACCTTATTTAGGGTACTTAGAACCCTACTTCTAACTACCCATGAACCTCCAAGTATGCAGTTCCAACGCGACCTTGCGGGAGCCCGGCCGTGAGGGGAAGCCGTTGCAGTGCTGTGGTGAGTTCCCGCTGGCTGCAGGTCAAGGCTGTTCTAGGGTTCAGGGTTTAGGATTCAAGGGTTTAGGGTTTAGGGTGTAGGGTTTAGGGTTTAGGGCTTCGGGCTTAGGGTTTAGGGTTGAGGCCTTTGTAGCTACGGCCCTCATGTGGCCTCGGGAGCTCCCTGCTCTATGCGGCAGCTCTGCGTCCGCGCGCAGCAAGCCGCAGAAGAGCTCCGTAGCATGTCTTGGAACGGCTTACGCAGGTTCAGGCGAGCTCCCAAATAGTCGGATCCCCCTTACAAGAAGGACCCCAAGAAGGTCCCCCCCTACTCTCGTAAACCCCCATTTTCCTAGAACCCCGCTTACATCTACCATGTTGAACCTTCCAGTCAGATCTGAGGCTTTCCAAGAATTCGGGCTCCTGTTTGAGGGCCTTGCGAGGAGATGATCCTCTCTTTGGGTCTATAAGGGCTACCCCAGTGCTACCCCTATTTTGGGTTTGAGGTTTAGGGTTTAGGGTAGGGCTAGCCCTAGTTTGGGAAAGAAGGGCTTTGTGAGTGTCGTCCTGAAGCCTGCATTAGACCAGACTCTACTGGAAAAAAGAAACCTCCTTGAGGGGGCACCCTCAAGGCAACCGCGCGCAGAGGCAGAAAACGTGCGGAGGGACTGGGAGTCGGTTTTAGGGTTTTAGGGTTTAGGGTTTAGGGTTTTAGGGTGTAGGGTTTTAGGGTTTAGGGTTTAGGGTTTAGGGTTTAGGGTTTGGGGGTTAGGGTTTAGGATTGAGGGTTTAGGGTTTAGGGCCTCCGAAATGCCAGGCGCCGACCTCTGTGTCAGGTGTTTGGGGCTTGCTTGAGGGTCCATGGGTGTTATAAGAGGGTTATACGGTGCCTTTGTTATGGTTTAACTAATTCTTATATATATATATGTCTATATATATATATATATATAACCCCACTTATAGCTACTCAAAAATCCACGAGACTCGAATACACCTTTTTCTACGAGCTTCCGCAACTTAGCATCCGGGTCCTAGAGTGATGTAGAGAAAGTCCCTTGCGGTGGGGAGGGGGGGGGGGTTGTTGGAGTGTGTTCTTGCGGGGGGCCTTCAGGAGATAGGATGTCAGCGAGTGGCGCTTGGGAGGAGAAGCATCCCGCATGCCTGTGCCTGCCCGGTTCAGGGTTTGGGGTTCAGTCTTCTTTGTTACACACCCTACGAGCCGCAAGCCCGAAGCCCTAAACCCTAAACCCTTTGCCCGAAGCCCTAAACCCTAAACCCTAAACCCTAAACCCTAAACCCTAAACCCTCAACCCTCAACCCTAAACCCTAAACCCTAAACCCCTAACCCCTAAACCCTAAACCCTGAACCCTGAACCCTAAACCGTAGGGGGGTTCGGCTCCCAGGTCTCTGCAGCCGCAGCCCGATTGCCAAGGCGCCCAGGGTGATGAAACCGTAAACTGCGCCCCTAAATTTAAGAGCCTCCAGCTCAAGCCGCCGACCCCGCAGGAGAACAAGTTTAAGGTTTGGGGTTTGGTGGATTGGGTTTGCGGTTCGGGTCTGGGTGGGGGGGTGGGGGGGGGGGGGGGGGGGGGGAAGTGGGGGTTCCCAAAAGGGGGGGGGGGGGGGGGCAGGGGGGGGGTACCCCGCGTAAATTTGGACCATAGGCGGTTTCGCACAGGGCATAGGGGCTCTTTTGGAAAAAACCCCGAAACCCTAAACCCAAAACCCAAACCCTAAACCCTAAACCCTAAACCCTAAACCCGAAACCCTCAACCCGAAACCCTAAACCCTAACCCTAAACCCTAAACCCTAAACCCTGAACCCTAAACTCCAAGACCCCCTAAACCCTAAACTCCCAAACCCTAAACTCCTAAACCCTAAACCCCCCTCCCTCCCCCAAAAAGAGATCTGGAGCATTGAGGTCACCGTCGGTGAAGTCGCTGGCGGCGGTCTTGCTAAGCTGAGTTGCGGTCTCGGGCTTAGGTCCACTGGGTTCTAAAGTTCAGGGTCTATTTAGTTGCCATAGAAGAAGGGTGCTCTGTCGGTACTATGGTCACAGAACCTGGGTTCCTTAACAAGAAGTCTGGGTGCGCAAGCGTGGGCGCCGATTTAGGGGCTTCTGGCTGGCAACATGCAACCCTAAACCCTGCATCAGGGCAACCGACACCCCGAAGAGAATCGCTCGACTTGGGCTGCTGAGGTCGTGCGGAGGGGAACTTAGGAGCGTCTGTGACCACCTGCCATCTCGTGAATATCGCAAGGGCTCGTGGATCAGCCGGTGACAGCATTGGCGTACCAAAACAGGCGCTCGCGTGCAGTTACTGCCATTCCGCACCTGGGCCTTGGAGACAACATGAACCCCTAACAGTCGGGATGGCTTACTCCTGTGCTCCTCTACTCCCAGATGCGGAATACGGTACAGGGACCATCAAAGCTTTGAAGGGTTTCATGTCGCCTCAACCCTGAACCCCCAAACCCTAAACCCTACTAAACCCTTAACCCCAACCCTGAACTCTGAAGCCTAAACCCTAAGCCCTAAACCCCCCTAAAACCGAAACCCTACTAAACCCCGAGACGTTTCTGAGTGCGCTCTGTCCGAAATCCCATCCCACGCAGGGAGGTGGACGCGTTGCCGTCAGATCTCACCTTGCCTCGGATGAATCTCTGGAGGCGCCTGTCAGGGGCCTGTGCATGGGGTTTAGGGTTTAAGGGTGTAGGGCTTAGGGTTTAAGGTGTAGGGTTCAGCATCTCAAGTTCAAGCATTCACTAGTTTAGCAGCTTTTCAGGCGCTCGGAAAGTGCCCACCGACCCAGAGCATCCCATTCCATTAAGACATGAAAAAAAACCAAACCCTAAGCCCTAAGCCCTAAACTCTAGATGCTCGGCCCTGAAGCCCTGGACCTTGTAGTGACCTTGCCCGCTATTTTTTTATGACAAAGAGCATGACAGCTTTCCTTCCCTCCTGGGGTTTCGGGTTAAGGGTTAAGGGTTTAGGGTTACAAAGCTTCGGGCAGGCCTAAAGGGGCTATAAGTACGGCAACTAGATAAGTAATCATGACCCCATTTAGGATACTTAGAGCCCTACTTTTTGAAATCCATGAACTTTCAAGGAGTCGCGACACCCTAAATCCTGTTCACGCTCCACCTCTCTCTGCCTCAAATCCTGTTGATCGTTTTTCCCTGGAAAGTGCCATCCTTGGGGACGCAGGGTTTAGGGTTTAGGGTTTAGGGTTTAGGGTTTAGGGTTTAGGGCTTAGGGTTTCGGGTTCAGGGTTTAGGGTTTAGGGAAAGGGTTCCTACTTAGGGTATAGGGTTGGCCCATAGGGCATATGAATATCGTATCAACTATGGGGCTCATATTGGTCCTCAGGATCTTGGTGTGTGAGGCTTGACCTGTGAAACGGTAGAGCATGTAGAGTTGAGGGGGTTAGGGGATCGTGGATCCCCCGAACCTAAACCCTAAACCCAAAACCCCAAACCCTAAACCCTAAACCCTAAGCCCTAAACCCTAAACCCTAAACCCGCAACTCTAAACAGCCCCCCTCGCCTCCCTAGCTCCAGGCACATCTATCCATCGGAAAGCTTTGCCTGGCACCCAGAGTTTACCACTTGCTTCAGAAACAAGATCACGGTCCCTGTATTGCTCGTGTAGGGAAGCATATCATGCAGTTTTGGGCTTAGGGTTTTGGGTTTAGGGTTTAGGGTTTCGGGTTTAAGCATTTAGTAGGAGTTTGCTGGAGGCTGATGGCCCTCCCTGACTGATGTGCCGCCTTCGTTCGCCTCGTTTAGGGTTTTAGGGTTTAGGGTTTAGGGTTTAGGGTTTAGGGAACCCTAAACCCTACACCCTCAGCCCGACACGTTCATCCGTCAACTTAGCAAGTCGGGCCCTGATTTCAGGAAAATGTAAGGTCCAGGGTTTAGGGTTTAGGGTTTAGGGGGCCCTTATCACAGAAGCCTCAGTGACCAGCGCGGCATCCACCTTTGTGCAAGATGAACGCTCCTGCGTAGGCCAGTGCCTCGCAAAGGAGCCCTCTCCCCCTGTGCCGCCAACGACCTGCATTTGAATGTATTGTTATATGGGCATTTCCCAAAATAGGGGGTATCCCGTTTATACCCCAAATAGAATAGATCCCCTTAAAGGGACCTCGAAAAGGACCCCTATTTTGGAAACTCCCATATTGTGATGTACTTACAGATGTGTACTCTTGTGTTTTTTTGTGTTTTTGTATTATTGTATTATTGCATTATTGTGTTATTGTATGATTGTATGATTGTATGATTGTATTGTTGTAGAATTCTAGTATTGCAGTATTGCATCATTGCTTTATTGCAGTATTGCATTATTGTGATATTGTACTATTTTTCCATTCTTCCACTATTCCATAATTCCATTATTCCATTGTTCTAGTGGTCGATTATTGTACATCATACAATATGAGAATATTGAAATATTGTTATATTGCAACATTATCATGATGGCATTCTGTATTCTTATGTGCTTGTATCAGTACATTGTTATACTGTACTGCCAGAACATACATATATATATATATATAGATATCTGTGGACCCTAAACCCTAAACCCTAAACCCTAAAACCTAAACCGTACACCCTAAACCCTAAACCCTAAACCCAAAGCCCTAAGCCCTAAGCCCTAAACCCTAAACCCTTCATGATATTTTTCTTTTGGTACATCAGGTTGTCGAATCAGCTTGTGATGAGGTCCACGAGCGCGAACAGGAGCTCTTCAAGTGCCCCTCCCGGGCTCCTGCCGCTTTGGATCTTGCGAGTTGCATAGGAGCCACTGCCGCAGTTGATCCGCGGGGGTTTAGGGTTTAGGGTTTAGGGTTTAGGGTTTAGGGTTTAGGGGTTTAGGGATTAGGGTTGTTCCTTGGGATGTTCACCCTTATACCAGCAGTCCTTAATAGGACTTAGGGTTTACGGTCTAGGGTTTAGGGGGGATTCTAGTAGGGGGTACTATAATCCCTATTAAGGGCTGTGATTAATCTGTTTCCGGCCCAGCCTGTGCTGCAGATTGCCAAAGCATTCGCAGTTCCCCGCCCCTCCGCCCCTTTCCCCCCTCCTCCCTTTTCCCCCCCCCCCGTGGGTGGCTTAAATAGGGTTTATTTGGAAGCTGGCACTCGGGTTTTGTTATTACCAAACCCATTCCGACGAGGGTACGAGGCTGTCACGTGGGAAACTGGGAGTCTATGTCTTTTCGGGGTCGCCAGACATGTTCTTAGATTGGAAGAAAACTTGAACCCAAAAAACTTAGGGACCAGGGCTTGCGATTTGGCTCTTTGGAAGAAAACTTGAACCCAATATCTTAGGGACCAGGGCTTGATTTGGCTCTTTGGAGGAAAACTTGACGTTCCCACGAGGGCACGCTGCTGTCACGTAAGTCGTACTATCATGGCCTCTTCTAACCTTGTTCTTGTCCCTCCCGCTTCTCTCCCCCTGACCCTGTCACTCCTTCTCTATATCTCCTCATTCTTTTTAAAGTGGTACGAATGAGAGGAACGCAACGTCCCCCCCCTGGAGGCACCCAGCATCAGCTTCCACCCCTTCCTGTTCTTCTCAGAAAAGAAAGAAAAAACAGAGCGAGAGAGAGAGAGAGAGAGAGAGAGTGAGTGCAGCGTGGGGCGGTCGTGGGGAAACCCCTTGTCCTCAAGCCCGCTGAAAAAGGGGGAAAAAAAGGAGCGCGAGAGGGGTGTGGAGAAGAGAGACGAGTGAGGAGCGAGAAGAAGGTGCAAACTCCCTTTTTTTCTTGTCTAAACAGAGAACGAGATAAGGGGAAAGCCAAGAGGCCCTCTCGCTCTCTCTCCCCCACGGTCTACGCTTCTCTCCATGCCCTGCGTTGTCTCATTCCCTCTCTCCTTCTGCAAATCTCTTGGAAGCTGATGCTCCTTTTTTTGTGGGCAGGTGCCTCCAGGGGAGGACGCTGCCTTCATCTCATTCCGCCTTCCCGTACCACTTTAACAGAAAAATGAGGAGATAGAGAGAAAAAGAGACAGGGTCAGGGGGGAGAGAAGAAGGAGGGACAAGAACAAGGTAGGAAGAACTTGTAAATTCCTCTTCTCTCTTCTCTTTTCCTCTTTCTTTTCCACAAGAAAGAAAATTATATGGACTTGAGAAAGGGGAAGCTAAGAGTCAAGAGACCCTTTCTCTCCCACGGTCTATGCTTCTCTCTCTATGCCTCGCCGTGTCTCACTCCCTCTCTGCTTCAGCAAATCTCTGCTTTGTAGTTCACCCTCCTCCTCGTCTTCCAATTCTACAAGACATGCCGCCCATAAAAGCAAAAAGATGGAGAGAGCGAGCGAGAGAGAGAGAGAGAGAGAGAGAGAGAGAGAGAGAGATAGAGAACGAGCGAGCGAACCGGAAGAAGAAAGGAACAAGGTAGGAAGACATGTAAACTCATCTTTAACAAGAAAAACTGATTGGGAGCATAAACTTGTCCAATTTTTTTGGAGGGCTGCGCCTGCGACTTGTCTTTTTGGGAGCACATTTTGCCAAAATCTTGGGGGGCGTGTTTTGGGAGCATCCCCTTCTCCAAAGTCTTAGGAAGACGGTGCTTGCGATTTGTCTTTTGGGAGCACAGAAAATCTTAAGTCTTCGGCCCGCTTTCTTTCAAAGGGTTCAAAAAAATGGAGGTCTCCGGTGTGGGTGTCCGTGAAAAGTAGGTCTTGTTACAGAAAAGAAAAACAGGACACCCTAATTTTGGATACATGTAACATCATTTCTTTCTTTTATTGCCTCTTGCGCAAGGAACGACAGGAAGGCAACGGTGGAAAAAGGGGAGCGCCTTTCCTTCAAGTTTCCAAAATCGGAGTCTCTGGTGTGGGTGTCCTGTTAAGGTGGGTGGCTACAGAAAAGGAAGAAAAGGACACCCGAAACACTCTAAAAAACTTGGACAACCCTTTTCTACATGCTAAATTGTTTACTTTATACCGAATGAAACGAACGA